TCAAATCACTAGTTATAACGAAATTTGATAAATGCGATGACGTCATCGATAATGTTATGAAACGTCATTTCCGGTATGACGTCATCATTTTCGTTCTCAAGATTTGAAAAGTTCGGGGGTTGGCATCCCTGTATTGATCTATTACAAACTACTACTAACTATTAGACTTATTGTGCTTTCATGGTTGACGGAAAACCACTCTATGAGGTAAAACATGACAGGAAATTGTTGTTTCATCAGGAAAATGAAAAGACGAGAGATGTGATGATTGAACATAGATTTCATCGTACTATTATTGGAGCTAAAGGTGACCGCATCAAGGAACTAAGAGACAAATATCCTGAGGTTCAAATCTCTTTTCCTGAATCATCCCAGAAAAGTGATGTTGTCTCCCTTCGTGGACCACGTGAAGATGTTGATAAAGTCTATGCATACCTTAAGAAACTGAATGCTGAATTGGTATGTTACGTTTGTTGGTTTTGTGTTTGTTTGCTGTGTTTTCTTTTTTGATATTATTGCTGAAATCTTTGGGTTTTCTTACTATTTTCTTGTTATAAAGAAGTAATGTTATGATCTGTGAGCATGTACTATCTTTTCAAATCTATTGACAGATTTACAGTACCCATAGGTTTAATGAAAATTCTTTTTGTGTCTTAATTTGTGTGAAGTTATGTTGGGTAGTTGTTTAATTACATGTTTTCACTGCCTAGATTGCTGCAAACTATTGCCTTGAGGTGCCAATCTTCAAACAATTCCACAAGAACATCATTGGTAGAGGTGGCACCACCATCAAAAAGGTTTGTAATATTTTAAGTCCAAAACTGCACATACACCTACTTGCAGAAACGTTGTCATAGAAAAAAGAACATTTGAATTTAGTAAAAAGGAATAAATTAAAACAAGACAAAAGAAAGCGTTCAGCCTCAGTGATCTTCTTTTGTCTTTTTTTAATTTATTCCTTTTTACTAAATTACAAATGTCCTATTTTTTATGACAACGTTTTCGCAAGTAGGTGTATATCATACTTACAAATACAAAACTCAAACTACATTGTAATTTGCACATTAACATGTGGTGTGTTGGCATTCCTCTTGCTTTTGTGAGAAAATATCTCATAATAAGTGTGTTTTCTTTGAAGATTCGTGAAGAAACTGACACCAAGATTGAGCTTCCTTCAGAAGGCAGTGACAGCGATGTGATTGTTATTACTGGGCACAAAGCACAGGTCGAGGCTGCCAAAGACAAGATCCTGGCTATCCAGAATGAATTGGTAAATTACATAGATCGATTTATGATGATGATAAACCATTAACTTTATTAATTTTATTTTCTTGGTAGGCTAATGTTACACAAATTGAGATCCAAATCCCTCCAAAATATCACAACTCCATTATTGGCGCWAAAGGAAGACTAATTCGCTCAGTTATGGAGGAATGTGGTGGAGTAAGCATCAAATTCCCACCAGAAGGTAGCAAGAGTGACAAAGTATTGATTCGTGGACCTAAAGACGATGTCGAGAAGGCTAAAAAACAACTTCTTGAACTGTCAAGTGAAAAAGTAAGCTTCACTAACTGATATTAATATTTTTGAATGAATTTTTTCAGTAATTAATTGTTTTTATTTAGGAAATCAGCGGTTTTACTGCTGAAATTCGTGCCAAGCCTGAACACCATCGTTTCCTGATTGGTCGTGGCGGAGTCTCAATCCGTAAAGTCCGTGAGGAAACTGGTGCAAGAATTGTCTTCCCTGCTGCCAAAGACGATGACAAGGAACTCATTACTATCATTGGAAAGAAGGAGTCAGTTGAATTAGCCAAGCAGCAGTTGTTGAAATCCATCAAAGATCTGGTAAGTGTTTAATATCACTAAAAACAATTAAGGAAGCCTTGGAGCTCACTCTGAGATATCCTTGACATGACTGTATTGTTTGCTACAGGACAACATCTCAGAAGGTGAAGTCCATGTTGATCCTAAATGGCATAAACACTTTGTAGCCAAGCGTGGTGAAGTCCTTCAAGAGATTGCTAAGGAATACGGTGGCGTCGTGGTCAGTTTTCCACGAAGCGGTGTGAACTCCAACCGTGTTGTTCTTAAAGGGGCCAAAGACTGTGTAGAGGCTGCCAAGGCTCGAATCCTTGAGATAGTCCATGACCTGGAATCTATGGTGACAATTGAAGTTAATATCGCCCAAGAACACCATAGGGCCATTATGGGTGCTAAAGGTGCCAATGTACAGGAGGTTACTACTAGGTAAGTGCATTTCCAAAATCCATATATAGTTAAGTGAAAGTTAACCATATTATGTCCTGTTATTTTCCAGGCATGGTGTCCAAATCAAATTTCCAGATCGTGATTCAGGTAAAGGGGCTGTCAATGGTGATGCCGAAGATGGTGTCAACGGCGATACACCACCAAGCCCCAGGAAATCTGACATCATTGTAATAACTGGAAAGAAAGAAGATGCTGAAGCAGCTAAGGCAGACTTACTGGACCTGGTACCTATCACAGAACAAATCACAATTCCTTTTGACTACCATCGCTTCATCATTGGCAATAAAGGAAGTAACGTCCGTCGTATGATGGATGAATACAGTGTGAACATCGCTATCCCACCAGCCAAAGACAAATCTGACATTGTCACTGTCGTGGGTTCCAAGTCCCACTTGGAGAGGGCCATTGTGGCACTCAAAGAGAAGGTGTCTGAGATAGAAGCTGAAAATGAGGACCGGGTATGTTATGATGTCCCTGTGTATAGTCTACATCAGTTAAAGTGGTTAATGTAATTCATAATTGTGTCAATAGGCTCTTCGTGCGTTCAAGCTTGAGATTGAAATCGATAGCAAGTACCATCCTAAGATCATTGGTCGTAAAGGAGCTGTTGTCACCAGTATTCGTACCGAGTATGACGTTCAGATCCAGTTTCCCAACAAGAATGCCAAAGAGGACGAGATGAACAAAATCGTACTGACTGGTTATGAGAAGAACTGTGAAAGAGCTCGGGACGCCATTACAAAGATCGTCCAGGAACTGGTGAGATATTATTGTGTTATTAAATCATAATCCCCTACACTTTCCTACTTTAGTTGTTCAGTATCTAACACTATTATCTTGACGTTGATCCACAGGAAGACCAAGTGAGCGTTGGACTCTTCATTGACCCACGTATCCACAACAGGCTTATTGGTACCAAGGGACGAACCATTCGGAAATTCATGGATCAATACAAAGTTGACATTCGCTTTCCTCGTGGCAAACCTAATGACCCTGTCGTTATAACTGGACTTGCACCCGATGTCGAGGAAGCCAAGGAAAAACTTGAACTGTTGGAGGAAGAATATGTAAGTCGAATAGTCCTGTATTTATGTATTTATTTACCGTTTGGTCCTTTCTTTATTCGCCTATAAATCCATTCTTTCAGTTTCTTCATTTTCCCATTTATTCAGTCATTTATCACTTCATCAAACCTCCCATCCATTCATTTTTCTATCCATCTCTTTCATCCATCCATACTGCCATCCCTTCCATCCATAAATTCATTTTCTATTCATTATTTGTACAGATGCAGGATGTTCGTCAAGAGATCGAGGAGTTTGATATGATCAGCTACTACATGAACCCACCAAGCAAAACTCCTGCCAGCGAGCCTAAGTCAAGCTTCGTCGTGCGCGACGCTCCATGGAGCAATGCTCAGGGGGGCAACAATTCATCCCGTAAGCCACCACCACAGCAGCAACAGCAGCACCAAGCCCACTCACCCCTCTCACAGCCTCCTGATACATCAAATGTTGACGACTTCCCTACTATTGGAGCAGGGAGTGGTGCTCCCAAGAATGTTGTCTGGGGACAACCTCGACACGGCCGTTAAATCCAAGTAGTTACAAAACATTTTCTTTAGTTTCAGTTGCTAATAATTCAAAATAATGGTGATAGAAATATAGTATTAGGAGTGAGGTACTGTTTCCTCGTTCCTTGCCGAGATATGATTCAGATAGCTACAAAACTTACTATTACGTTTCAATTCGTTATTACCAAAATGATACTGACTTTGAATTGTATGTCCGTTAAAAACGTCAGTGGTGTAACTATTTGGGTAAAGACCGTGTTTTAGTCCTCTCAGTGAACAGCATTCAAAAAATTCTTTCAAAAAACTCAAAGTTCCATAACCTTTTTTCTGCAAGTAGTCAACCATTTTACAAATCAGCCATTCACTGACCATACTTAATTAGTCGTAGTAATAAAATAATAATATCTTATCAATAATGATAAGGCATCGTCATTGTAGGTATGAATGCCTCCCACTAAATCCTCATGACCACAGGAAGCCCGGTGTAAGGTTTTCTAGATAGCATTCATAGCAACATATTGTCATAGCAACATATTGTCCAATCGGTGMCTCTTTCTATTACACGGCTATATTTAATGTCTTTATGACCTTAATTAGCTGTCATGTCTTGTTTGTCAGAAAATTATTTTAATGATGAAACTATCTTGACAAGACAATAAACTTTTACAAAACGAATGCACATGTCCAGCTTTTTGTCCTACGTTTGAGAAAGGTCCCAATGAGACGATTCTTGATATGAGCGGACGCTTTCAAAAATATCGCAGGCGCGCGAAATAAAATGGGTTATTTTCAGGGAGCGTTCTGAAGCTCGCTTATATTTTTGGTGAAAATAACTCGTTATGCAGACTCGTTTATTTTTTGATGCGTCGTGCATCAAGAGAAGCTGTTCTATCACCATAATAGCGGTCATGAACACCAGACGGGTACTAACACTTAAAGTAAAAATAGTTGATTAATTAACTGAGCTATGACGGAATCTTCTATAACTAACGACGAAGTAGAGAAGACAGTATTATCCTCTTGATTTGTTGCATACTCCCATCTGACAAGCTTCACACATCGAGGTGTTGTGAGGTTTTCTGGGGCGACCCTGTCTCGTCTTTGTATCGCTCTCTTTGGGTTTAAATGAGTAGAATTTCTAATAAAATAAAACAAATTAATAATCCCTGTTTAATTATTCAGATGGATACAAGATTTAAACTATGCTGTGAAACCTCCGGTTAACCTGGCCACGGGGAGTATACTTAGGTCCGTACGCTGTCCTGGATAAATTTTCACAAATGAGACTCTTCGCCTCGACTTGACGTAGTTTTCATACCTCGCCTATCTTTTGGAGAATGTTCGAAAGGACTTTTTCTATTTCCTCGCGATACCACCTTGGTTTTTGGAAAGTGTCTGTACAATTGGAGTTGCATTTTTGTCCAAACAGCTTGAAACGTAGATTTCCTGCAGCATAGAAAAGCACCACATCCACATGACCACATACAGGTTTTAAAAAATCGGTAACAGTAGAAGGAAATCTGATGGACAAAGGGAGTCATTGTACTGTACCTTTATGAGTTTCTTTATTTAGTTGGAACCAAAATATCACAACTCCTTTCATCGATGTCCACGAGCGCCCACAGTCAGAACAGACGAACTTGACCTGTATAGGATGATAGGTTTGCAAGCAATTAGTTGTTAGAATAGGGATTATATTGATTGAAAGGTTAAATTACTGAATTTCTATGCGCTTCCATTTCATAACTGTTAGCTACACCCCTGGTAGACCATAATTTTATCGCGTGCTTGTAATTACCTTTGCTTTGTCTTGATATGTGTACCATCCGCTGCCAGTCATCTCTGTGTTCGTGGGCTCAAGGTGCCATTCGTCGCGGTCAAATACATTAAACGTAGCATTAAATGTGTCGTACCAAAACGTTTTTAGGTTTAAATGCGGTTCCAAGTCGGCCATCATTTGCTGTTATACCTGAGATTTTTGTAAAACAGCATTTCTTAGGTTCGGAATTTACATGTTAATATTTACCAGTAAATCGCCTTTTTGAAATAAATGAAATAATCTATTTCAATATTATATTTGCACGCCTGACGGAACTGACTGAAAGTATATATATTTGATGTGTTTTGAAAAGAAGATGATGCTGTGCGACACAAAGAGCGAATCCTTTCAAACCAGTTTGTTGGTTACCTTTTCAAAACACACGCAAACCTCTGCAACAATGGAAAGTAAAAATAAGGTCATTTATGTGAAATAGCTACTGCGTTACTGATATTGCGATACGGTTTAAACGAGCCGTCTGTCGCAAAAACTAGCACCATATCTGCTTCCGTGTCCGTAGTGGAAGACTTTCCATTCAATTGCAGAGAGTGTAAACTAGGTTGTTTGCTTGCTGTTTTCGTATACTTCTCTACATAATATGTTCTTCAGTGATTGTGATACTACATTGGCAACCTGCATGTATATAATCACGGGTCTGCAATTTATGTATGTATTTATAGGCACCACACTATGTCTATAAATTTCGTCTCGCTTGCTTACCTTTTACTTTATGTCTAATGGTGAATAATAGTTGCATGTATACTTCCCGTATGTTTATGCTTTCAGCTTTATACATTTTAATGAACCTTTTCTCGGAACGGCTGGATTATGATGTAATCAAATTTACAAAGGAAGACCGTCTGAACATTGGTACATTGACTAGAGTGTCACGATCCGAGGACATCACTGGATAGCTAGAACGGTTTCATTGTCATCATCTGAAAGAGAAATCTGGTAGTTAATTAAAATTAATAAGAGAGAAATAAGAACAAAAACAAAGATTCCATGTACGTCATTTCCGGATTTCAAATTTCTTGAACCTGCTATTTCCAAGAAATCGGGTTTTCGAGTGCATTTTGTCATATTTGGTTTATGCAAGGTAGGTCGAACCAACTCCTTGGTATGAAACAAGTGTTCTTTCTTCAATCCTTAGCTTATTTCCTTCTTTTATTGATAAATTATTATCATTATTATATCATTTCAGATTACTATAAAGGATTCACACTTCTGGATCGACATAATGTCTAGTGAATTGCCACAAGAGGTAACACCTCCTTCTCCAGCCGGTAAATACGGCAAAGACAGCGAATTTGGACAAATTCTAGACTTTATTCAAAGCATAGTTAGCGATGAAAATTTGAGGCATGAATTTGACATTCCTCATCTCGTTGTCGTTGGTCGTCAGAATATGGCAAAGACCACACTTATAAACCGACTCATTGGAAGGTTAGAATAAGCTTATAAGCTTATTAGCAATTGCTCTAGATTATTCTACAAATTATTGGTATTGCTAGAGTATTAATACATCTTCAATCAGTACTGGACTTCAACATCTCAAGTGAATGCTTATAAATTATGCTTATCAGTATGAGTGAGTGATTCATGCGTCGGGCCAGCGTCGCGCCGAACTTAATTCACAAAAATATCTGTTTAATTTCGACAATAATAATTGTGTAAATTGCGTGTTATCGCACCTTTTCTTATGCTTTTGACTGCATTTGGTTCGACGTATGAATCAACGACGTACCAAATGGATTTGGTTTTTATTTTCTTTGATTGTCCAACTCTTTATTGAGTGGATTGCAAGTTAGAACGCGTTCTTATAGTATAATGTCAGTATATTCAACCCTGTTGACACGTTGATAGAATTCATGAGACTAGACGATGAATATGACATTTAGCAAAATCAATAACCTTGATATGCAAATTAGCAGTGTCTGAACATACCACTATTCAAGCATAACGCTATAATTTTCGAATTTGAATATTTTGTGGTTTCCACGTCTTTTTTTACCACTTTCACACAAGTGAACAGGAAAGAATGAGGTGTATTAATCAATGTTTCTAACCCACTACCTTACTACTACAGATACTTACTACCAATGAGAAAGGGTAAGACAGCCACTCATCTCCAGGCCCTCACGACCTACCCAATTCTTCTCAATCTTCGTCGTGATGAAACTCCTAAAGTAAAAGTTGAAGTTGCTGGTCATACAGATATTGGGGGATTAGTGGAACATCCTAAAGATGAAACAGTTGAAGAATTTCTTCGAAATGTTGCTCTAAATCTTCCTAAAGAACTTGGGACAGATATATCTAAGACACCTGTAACTGTTACCTTATATGGTATGTAACCTTATATGGTATGTAACCTTATATGGTATGTAACCTTATATGGTATGTAACCTTATATGGTATGTAACCTTATATGGTATAGATGGATGAATGACTGACTGACTACTTTGTGTGTTTATTCCAGGGCCAGGTATGAGCAATTTGACTCTGGTTGATCTGCCTGGTGTTCATTTCTCTAATGACAATCAGAGGATGAATGTTGTAACAAGAGAATTGGTTCTTGATTACATTAAAAAGAACAAGAAAAGTGTTATAGTCATTGTTTCTCAGGTAAAGTTTACTTTTATGTTTTTTCCATTCACAGTATATCATTCACAATGGGCAAAAAAGGAGGGGGACGAGGAGGGGTTCTTGATCCAGAACTTAATTTAAACTTGACTCTTAGCCTGTGATACTTTACTACCTGTAATACAACACATCCCTTAAAAAGAAAAGTTTATAAAGAAAGGCACTCAACAAGTGTGTGATCACTATTTTCAGGTGGGCGACCCTACAGGAGACGGTGCAATCAACTTGGTTATGCAGCATGCCGAGGACTATAAGAACAGGACAATTTGTGTTTTAACAAAACCTGACAAACACAATGAACATGATGACATTGGACGCAAAGTAGCAACCAACCAATCGCATTTCACACTGGAAGCTGATCATTTCATTTTGTTAAAAGGTCTGTGATAATGGAGCATGATTGGTTGATTGATTGATGGATGGATGGATTGGTTGATTGATGATTGATTAGTTGATTAATGGATTGATTGATTGGTTGTTTGTTTGATTGATTGATGATWAATTGGTTTAATTGATTAGTTGTTTCATTGGCTGATGGATGATCAATTGGTTTAATTGATTAGTTGTTTCATTGGCTGATGGATGATTAATTGGTTTAATTGATTAGTTGTTTCATTGACTGATGGATGATTAATTGGTTAGTTGATTGATTTATTGATATATTCATTCTTTGTTTTTTTTTTATTTGATTGATTGATTTACTGATTGATTGATTGATTGATTGATTGATTGATTGATTGATTGATTGCTTGATTGATTGATTACTTGGTGGCTGATTATATGATTGCTTGATTGATGATCTTGGTAATCTTAATCAATCTATCTATAATTTAAATAAATCCATGTTCTCGTGTTTTCAGGGAAAGATGGCGCTGATCCCAATGAAAGTGAGTGGGATGCAGAGACAACTCGTCTTATGGAGGAACGTTGGTTCAAATCACACAGGCAATACAAGGACTTGATGCATATTTGTGGTATTGATCGACTCATGGATACCATGATTAGGATGCTGTCAGTCAAAATGATTGAAGAAATCCCGAAATTAATTAGGAGTATGAATGGTAGGAAAGAAAAGGTAAGTACATCTCGTTTAAAACTGTATTGAAATTTCGATTTATACATATCGTTTACTTTTAGGGAACGTTGTACCGGACTGTAGTGATAATTGCCTCACTAACTGATTGAGCGATTGACAGATTAATCAACTAATTGATTGATTGATTCATTTATTGATTGATTGTTGACTGATTGATTGATTGACAGCTAGAACAAGAGCTTCAGTCCCTAAAACAAACAGCCGTCCCAGACCACGAGGCCGGTAAAGGCAAGCTATTGTCCAGCTTACAAGGCAAATTAGTCAAACAACTAGAAACGCTATTGTTCAACAATACTACAAACATCGTAGGAGGCGAGAAGGTTCGGGATCTCATCTTAGCATTCAATAATACAATTCTTCAAATCAACCCTTTAAAGGACAGAGCTGATGATGAGATAAGAAGACTTCTACGTAAGCTTGAGGGTGTTGCGGCACCCCTGGGAAATAGCAGTGAAAATAACCAACTTCTGGAGATGCTACTGTACGAGCCTTTTGATAAAGGTACTTTTCAACATAGCAATTAACATCGTGGCCAGAAACAGGGGGACGCCCCAACAAAACGTGGGCTCAGATTTCACTCAAACAAAATGGCAATCAACTCTACTGTTTTGTCTATTCGACTATGTTTTAAAGGGACACTGTCAATGGCACGCATGCGCGAGTAAACTTTCAAGTTTATGACTCCAAGTTGGCGCGACATAAATCAGCTCGTAAACGTAAACAGATCTAGAATATTCCAAAGTGTGTCAAAAGCACCACAAAATGATTTACCTCGAAGGTAATACTTTCAAAGTCCGTTAGAGGTGAGACTGTTACCGCGCATGTCATCCATTGACAGTGTCCCTAAGTTCTAAAACTTACTGAAATTTAATTTCTTTAAGCGCACCTATCAGCTTCTCCATACCAGACGAATGCACAGCAACTACAAAGTCCAATAGATGAGCTAACTGCAAAGTGCCAAAACCTGGTTCAAAATGTCCAAAAAGAATTGAAAGAAATTGTTCTGTCCGCCGTGAAGGAAACACTCTCAGTTTTCCCTGTTTTACAGAAATCTGTTGAGGTGAGTTTAGTAGGGGTGATGAACAGCACCAAACGATAGAAAAAATAACTCGCAGGATTATTTCAATTTTTTATATTTTATATTTTAAGACAACAGTCGTGCCAAAGATCTTCCTTGAAAAAGAGGCTGAAACAGTTAAATTCATCAACCAATTTATTCAAATGCAGAAGAAAAGTGTGGATGTTGTTGCTCTTAACGTTTTACTTCCTCAAGATATTGATAGCGCAATTAAAACCTTGATAAGTAATCAAGTTACTTTCCAGGAGAGACAAGGTTAGTGTTTTCTATTAACTTTTTAAAGAAATTGGCTTGATTCGACCTGCTCTTCTGATATGATCGAAATTTAACTCTCATATCATACTCGACATAAAGTTCTCCCTCTCGGCACCCAAAATCCAACATATTTTTGCATTGACCGATCCAATGAAGCGCCACCTTCCCGAGACATTGCTCTCCTCTGACTGTGCTTGTGATACAGCCCATTTTAAAAGCTTTATGTGTGTGTGACTACAGCTCCTCCTTTCCCCAAGAATATCCTCATATCGTCCCAGATTTACAACTTTATTTTCCTTCGTCTTTTTCTCTTTTCAGGGAGATCTACAAATTATGTGGSCCCGTCAACCCTGAATGTGGATCCCGAAATCTTCACCCAAATGCGCCATTTATCGAACAGATTGCATTCAGATAAAATAGTGAACGCGGCGACTTCATGTTCTTTGAAAGAACCTGCGAGCTACAAGGTTGGTATAATGACAATCCCTACATTAGTATTTAGTTTTGTTTATATTCCAGCATTTTTTGCTATAACGGTTTGTTATTTTCCTTTTTTTTGGATGATTTAGGAGAAAGAGCAAATCATCACAACAAAAAAGAATGTAATTCGTTGTTTCAATCACATCAAACTGAACGTAATCAACACTGTACCACGATGCATCCAACACTTCTTCATCACGCAACTTGTTGAAAGCCTCGACAAAGAGCTAGAAGATGCTGAACTCATGGAATTCTTACAAGAAAAGGAAGACGTCAGAAGGAAGCGCATCAAAGCGCAAACAACTCTTAACAGCATCAATCACGCCTTACCWCAGACTGAAAAGATTACGCCAATGTTGCTTCGTATTAAGCAAGGGAAATCAGCAGTTAGGAAATAGGCTATTTGTAGTCTCTATCAACAGCCGCGACTTCCGGTCTCGTCAAATGTCCTCGCCAAAAGTTAAGAGACTAGGCTATTTGGGGTTATAATAGTAATAGTACAAGCACTGTAATTGGTCTAGGCAAAATTTAAAASTTTACAATTCTAAAATATTTAGATAACGTACGAGCACTGTGATTGGTTTAGACAAAATTGAAGAGTTGACAATTCTAAAAGCAAATATGTAGATAGCGTACGAGTGTTGTGATTGGTCCAAGTGCCAATAGTTTGATTTGCTCTGGCAATATAATTGATGCTGTGATTGGTCCAGACATTCAAGTACGAATATTTCAGTAGGCGTTAGTGATGAGCTCTGATTGGCTCACATTTGTGTTATTGGACCAATTGTATCAATATATCAAGTTTGTAYATTTATTTTTCAATTCAAGTCTCAAATTATCAATTTTGGGCAAAATGTACTTCATAGCCCATCAAACAGTCGAAAATCATCGATTTCTGGTGAAAATGCATGGACTGTAGTCTACTATTAAAAATGATCAAAAGACAAGTAGTTCTTATAATTTCATGATCTAATAGTCCATATATTTTAACTCCAAAATCATCAMTGTTTAGTATTTTTGTGTTTTTAAGCTCAAACAGCAGGAAAACACTTGTATAAATTGTWTATTTCTACGTTGGCAATAAAAATGTTGTGTTTCATWAGAGTTTGATATAATTTTTTCGAAAGAAGCAATTTGAATCTATTTAAACAACTCTCAAAGATGTTAGTCTTATATAAGAAAAAAAGACTTCCTTGAAAATAAATTAAACTATCAAAAGTTTTGGTATTAAGGACCTTTCATAGTGATAAAAGGAATCTTGTAAGAAAATCTAGTAATAYTGTGCACAGTAAAAAGTGATTTTGGGCGACGTTAGATGCAGGAAAATACCTCAAAAAATTAAAAATATTTCCTCTTGAGGATTGAATTTTGATGATAAGTATTCATCAGTATCACATAGGAAACTATTATAGTTATCGATGACCTGCTGCTGTTATTCGAGCCCGCGAATCTTTCAGCTTATTGTACACCATGATCCTTTAGCAGTGTCAGCGKTATCCTCGTCATCATCAGCAGCATCATCATAGTTATTATATTCATCATCATCATCTTCGTCTTCACTGATTTCTGTATCACTCAAGTCACACTGACTGTATCGTCGAATATGCTTTGTAGTCACAAAACCATCATCGGACTCAGACCTTTGAAGATAACAAATAGTTAGTATGGGTTTCCTGTGTCCATCACGTGAGAGGAGGAATGGTAAGCTAATCCTAATACATCTAAGAAAGAGAAAAAGTGGGAACGAGAGAGAAAGGGAGGGACAGTGCACAGAATCCAATCACAACTCACCGTGTTCTTTTCTTGGCTTTGGACGAGATCTGATTCCAGAGTTTCAAGTCTGACCCGCCCGTACATATCCTGTTGAACGTCTGACCTTCTCTCTTGACTTGAGAACAGGATAAACAGGTTATACAACCGGTATTGTTATCGTTGATAGTGGCAAGGTATCCTTCATCTGGTAAACTGCGAACTGGAAAAGAGTTAAAACAGGTTATACAACCAGATTACATGTAAAACAAGTTTTTTAGACAAGATCAAAGCAAGTTGTAAATCGAGATTGAAGTCAAGTTTAACAGGTTTTCTTGGTTGTATTTTCAGAAAAATACTGGTTTGAAATAATATACATTAAAAGCAACAATAAACAGAAGAAAGAAAAAAACGATCCAAAGACGCGAACATCGACGATTTTGTTGATAGTCAAGTCTTAATGACGTCATGTTTTGGCGAGGTGCATCATGGTATTGCATCAAGATGGCGGTTCTCTTACGTAGACTAAACATAGATAAAGCGTACGACAAGTCTTCTCCACTTACCATTCATATATCCATTTCCTTTATCAATATCATATCCTGCGCTTATCAAACAAGATCCAGTGGTTGTCATGGCATTAGTCGATCCAAAATCATTCTCATGGTTACGAATTTTACGAAGTTTTCCTGAAAAAARAGTTTCAAAGTTTCATACTCCTATTGTAGTTTATCTGACATCGACTAAATTGGCTAAAAAAGCCAAATATGACCGAGSAGACATCTACAAAACTAGTAAGTATTCAGTTACTTTCCATCGCAACTGTTTTTCATGCTTGCAAGCACCGACGCCGATTACATTAGTTGAACACTAGCTTTTTCTTTCTCTGTAATAAAGACGTGACAAAAGCAATGCGCATGCTCGGGAAAAGATCTTTCATAGGGTCCCACATTTAACAACGATAACGAACTATTTCATATACCTGAGGCCAGCTCTAGGACCTTAATATTCGCCCCATCGTCTCCCCAGTATATATTGTCTCCTTTAGCTGTTAACGATCGTATTTGTCTCTTTTTGTAAACCAAGTCGGATTTTGTCGAGTCAAAAATYGGACTYAAGGACGAGTCCCGGATGTCCCAGACTTTGACGACTCCTGTTGTTGAGCCGCTGACCACACGACCATCGTCTTGAAACTGAAAACAGAAGATGTGTAAACCTTGAGAAAGAAAAACAATCAAGAAAAATGGAGAAAGGTTGAAGGGGAAATATAATATAATAAT